AACCTGAAGTCGTAAAGGAACTCTGATTTTCATCAAGTCAGTTGTGTACTGCAGGCTGTTAAGAAACGGAACAGTTGCCGTCGGCAGCGCAGTCGTTCTCTGGTCCGAGTCCCACGGGACTCATGTTCATATTTTACTGTCTCAGATTCGAGACTTCCCTTTTCATCGCCTTCTACGACTCTCAGGGATACGGTGGAGGTATTGCACCCCGCCTCCACACGGGATCCTCGCTAACTGGGTCGTCCCAGTTGTCTTTCTTAGAACAACTCTGCAAGAACCGAGTAGAAAACACCGTTTCCAACAGTAACTCTGTGAGATTCGAAAGCGTTCTGACAATGGTGGGTGACACAGAATTACTGGATTTTTGGACTTTTTCCGTCGTCCGGAATTCTAGGTAATAGAGGACACGACGTTTAGGAAACCGGACCTGTTTCCGTCTTCAGGTGAGGAAGGAAAACACCTAATGACTGAGATTAGCTCTTTCTAAGGGGCCCAACTGAGTAGGTGTCTTCCATTTCTCACCTTAAGACGGAAACAGATCCAGTTTCCGAAACGTCGTGTCCTTTATTACCTAGAATTCCGGACGATGGAAAAAGTAAAAATACCCAGTAATTCTGGGTAACTCTATTATTGCGTACGTTTCGTTACCTAGAAACGGGATGTCACACAGCAAGGGCTGTGCACGCTGCAGTATATTTGGGGGGGGGGGAGCTCCGTCAAACGTGACAGAAGTGTTCGTCTGTTCCGGCCTGAATGCTCGCCCGTAAAGAAATAAAGTTCACAGTTTTTATGAGACCTGCAAGCAACTTGGCAGATAATTGGATTTCTTTACTAAACCTACAGAATTTATATAAAATTGGTATCCCGCGTCTTAACGTGCCACTCTATTGAAAATCCTGCACTGATATTTGTCGAGTTCGATACTCGGGTTTGCTGTATTAGTGTCGTCCTGTACTTCGGTGTTGTGGAGCGAAAGCTTTGAATAAACAATGGACAGATTGGCGAGGGGGAGGAACGTATAGCATCTGAGCGGCTTTGTATCCCATGAAATACATGAACCTTCCTCTACTTGGCTGTGAAGACGGGTAGGGGTCTGGGTCCCCTCTAATCGTAAAGATTTCCTTAATCCTTCTCATACTTACAGTAGTCTCCTTGGATTGAGGCTCAGTGCATCGTAAGACATTTATCTTTATAGGACAACACAGAAAATGCGGACGTGCTTAAACCGAGATGACGGTGCTCAGATTCCGCTGTCACTGCGATCGGGTCCTCAGTCTGCTGGAGCAGTGCGGCAGGAAGTCAAGCAGCAGTAGGTGAAGACCCACTGTCTCTTGCAAATAGAAGGCGTACGGGCTAGACGACCAATGGGTCGGAGTTCAAGTCGCGGTGGGGGCAAAAAATTTTCACTTCTCCATATCGTCTAGATCGGCTCTGGGTAGGATCTACCTACCCCTAGGTAGATATCCTAACCAATGGGTACCGGGGGCTCTTTCATCGGGGTAAAGCGGCCAAAGCGTGAAGCTGACCACTCACCTCCAACTAGTGCCGGGGACAAGAAAACGTGAGTCTGTATATCCGTAAGTCTTCATGGCGTAGTGCTTAATTAGTTAAGCACAGGGACACTTTGCCTTACACAGTGCTAATTGCAAATTAATGTGAGGACCTACTAACACCGCGATGCGGAGCCCTACAGAAGCTGCTAGTCTATGGAACCCATAAGGCTTGGGGTTCTCGCGGTAGTGACGAAGATAACCGTCGTCTGGGATATGATGCCATATAGTCTGGTAGAACGTTATCAGAGTTTCGGATGAATATGTTGCTTCCATCTTCAGGGCAGAAAATTATTCTATAATCTTAATTATTACCACCTTCATGAGAGGATGCCACTTTACTCTATCCTGACCCAAGTGAATTTTGACGACACTTTCTTTAAGAGAAATAAGGGATAGCTCAGTCGGTATAGCGACAGACGGTCTTGGTTCATTTCATGGTAGAGACGGGAGATTTTTCTATTCTCCATAACTTTCAGACCTGCTCTGGAGCCCATTCAACCTCCTATACAGTGGGTACCGGGGGTAAAGTGGCCGGCGGTTGGAGCTGACCATTCACCTCCATCTAATTCCGAGGTCAAGAATGGTGGAGCTATAACTCCACTCCCCCACTCGTCTTCATGGACAATATCACCATTACCTTTACTTCCTTATGATCAGCTTTGTTAATTACACTCTTAGCTACGCTTGGTTGTTCCAACACTTTACGCATTCCTCGCCTTTCCAATGAGTGCTACGCCCATAAATACGCCTATCATCCTACGTTGCTTCTGTCATTAAGCATCACTCCATTTTTTTTCTTTGGCACTACAGCCCCAGTGGGCCTAGGCCTACCTCCATGAACTTCTCCGTTCACTTCGGTTTTTTTAGATCTTACACATTCGGTAGGACTCCTTGGGAGGGTGATCAGCTCGTCGCAAGGCCTCTACCTGTAGACAAACACAGAAAAACGCACACAAACATCCATGCCCTGAGTGGGATTCGAACCCACGATCCCGGCTTCCGAGCGAGCGAAGACAGTGTATGCCTTAGACCGCTCGGCTACTGTGACCGGCAGTGTATAAGAATAATATATAAGAATTCAGTTCGTACCTCACAGGAAACATTCGAACCCACGATCCCGGCTTCCGAGCGAGCGAAGACAGTGCATGCCTTAGACCGCTGGGCTACCGTGACCGGCGCATCACTCCATTAAGTCTTCGAAATAAAGCACCAATTATTCTTTACTTAGACAGTGGTAGTTGTTCTGACGCTTCAGCCGTCTTTACCGGTGGGGAAACAACCGTAGGAGGTTTCCTGCTCTTCAGAGCAGTTCTTAATTTGATGGGGACAAAAACATTTACCAAGATTCATGGAGGGATATGAATCCTGGGCCCTCAGTGCACAGCCACTAGATGTACTGACCGAGAAATCACTGCCTACCTTACAACTGGGCGGAGAATAATGAATTTATATAACAATTTATATTATTTTGACTCCGATAAGATGAATGACCATCTGCCTCTGAAAGTTTGTTCACTCTTGACTTCAGGCGTCGCATACCGCTGTGATGTCCAGGCCGGGGAAGCAGCGTTGAGGGAGGGGGGTGAGGAAGAGAAGGCGGTGACTAAAGCCATCGAATCATGATATATTTGATAGGATTCTATAAATCTGCTCGGACTTGCTTTAGACCTGCCGGGGGTTACAGGAAAAGCGGTAGAAGGAACATACAACGTGAATCTGACAGTTTACCGTTCCATGTCGCTTTCACCCTGAACATAGGGGTAATATGTTTCTCCGAAACTTCCGTAACTGCCTAGAAAAAGAGACCTCAGATCTCTTGCCTGTTGTGCGTCCACACGTACAAACTACTGCATGTTGAACTTGTGGTGTCAACATTATAACATACATGCAATAAACAAAATAGATTAACAGACAGAATATTGTAGCATGCAGATCCGTTGCTAAGTAATGACTCTGTAAACAACGCTCATTGCTAGGCAACAGATTCCTAACATGCACCAATAGATTAACTGGGAAGCGGCGTTCTCTACGCGGTCCTTGCTATAGCTGCTTGTCGCAGCAATAGAATTGGTAGAAACGATGTTTTCTATGCGGCTCGTCCCGAGATGTTATAAGCAGGACAAGTCTAGAGTTTAGTTAGCTGGGAAACAGTTGCCGGCCAGTAAGGGCGTAAACACGGAATGGTTGTCAGTTTTGGACCCCGCTGCATAACCAAAACATCCAAGAATGGGAGGGAATCATTAACTTCAGTTCCATAGTGAATTTGATGGTAGTCCTAATGCTGTTAATATGATGCACAAATTGCTGTAACTTTGCTGGTCCACGTGGCCATACCACGAAAGTGGCCTCCACGTATATGAGCTATTTAGCGGTTTTGTGGTCTGCGGTGTCCAGTGATATTTCCTCTATGTTACTGCCCACCGCAGATTATTATTATTATAAATGCAATTACAACTACAATTAACTAAATTCATATTTTTTTTTGCTAGTGGTGTGGGACTAAGTCCCTTGTACTGCGACCACTTCTGGCCAATTGTACCAGCGCCAGATGATAGGTGAGGGTGACTGTGGAGCAATTGGTGGAATGAAGATTGGCAGGGGAAACCGAAGTACTCTTAGAAAACCTGCCCCAGCGCCACTTTGTCCACCACAAATCCCATTTGACCAGACGCGGGATCGAACCCGGGCCGCCGCGGTGGGAAGCCAGAGACTAACCGCTTGAGCTATGGCGCGACCTTAATTAATATTAATGAAAAATAAGTATGCTATACACTAAACCGTAAGTGTAATGAAATACGTAATGTAATGAAGAGACGGTCACAGTAGCCGAGCGGTCTAAGGCATGCACTTTCTTCGCTCGCTTGGAAACCGGGATCGTGGGTTCGAATCCCACTCAGGGCATGGATGTTTAGTTTGTGTGTGCGCGTTTTTCTATGTTTGTGTACAGGTAGAGGCCTTGCGACGAGCTGATCACCCGCCCAAGGAGTCCTACCGAATGTGTAAGATCTAGAAAAACCGAAGTGAACAGAGAAGTTCATGGAGGTAGGCCTAGGCCCACTGGGGCTGTAGCGCCAATGGGAAAAAAAATGTAATGACGTGATGCGCTCATGTTTCACCACTTCATTCCACTTCACTACACTTACATCTTCACCACAATTTACTTCACTTCACTTCATTCCCTGCATTTTTTGATGATTTGCCCCACACCTTCAATTCGCCTTATATCACTTTCCTAACACTTTTACTAGAATTACGTGATTTACAGGAAAGAGTCCCTAAAGCTGCAGGTAGTTGGTTCCAGAGCTGGATGGTTCCATTTACAAAGGACTCTATCTTAAAATCGCTCTTCTTTCTTCATGTGTGTAGAATTTGTTTTATCCTGTCTTGTCATCGTAGTGAATGCACGGAAACACCCTGTGCTATAGCTGAGGCTGTACTGTGTTTCAGATATGCAGGAAGAAACATGACGAAATGATATTCAGAGGTTGGCATGCATGTCGAGTTAGTGTCCAGAAGTTTGGGTTGTTTGACAAATCTGGAACACAAACAGTGATACTGAGATCTCACAGTGGTTCTGTGTCTAGGTTTCTTTGGAGATTTTCTGAACGAACTGACACCTGCAGCCAGTTTCTGCTACTAGGATCCATTTGACTCTATCCGATTAGATAGTCTATCATTTCTTTTTCAGGCGTTTGACCCGATGCGGTGTGTTTATCGGTTGCTGTTGTTCGCAAAACGTTCACTTTTTAAATATCTTATTTTATTTTTCCTAAGCAGTGATGCTAAGAAGAATAGTCAGAGTAAAGTAATTCTGTGTTTGAAGAACTGTAAGGTTCTGTAGTAAGTTTTCCCTGTTCGTTTTCACATTTTGTGAGTGACGTGTGCAACAGAAGACGGAAGAGGAGAGGTTTCTGCGCAGTTTTTCGTGCAGGAAAGGCACTGAAGAGCTCTGTGAGTACAAGTACGAGTATATACTGTATACTAAATAAAATGAACACCGCACATTTAGACTCGAATTATGTTTAACATCTATAGGGTTAATGATAAAATACAAAATCCCGGTTTCAAGAAGATCTTTGAAATAAGCATTTTTTAATAAAATGACGACAGCTGTTGATACAGAGACTACTGTAGGCAGATCCACTTTCCCCCAGAAGATGAAATAATGTGTGAAGATTAATGAAATTGAAAGGATATGGAAGGAAGTCACTGTAGTCTGATTGAGGTAGTATCCTGGCATTTGCCTGGGGGGACCGAGGAAAATCATGAGAAACCTCAGACGTGATATCACGTGTCTTGCCCGAGACTTAGACGGTCCAACTTAACGATCCCTTCGAATTTACGATTTTTTTCATGCCAGTTTTAGCCTGAAAGCCCACTAACTTAAGTCCGGTGTTCCCACCTACTCCCTCATGCAGCGAACTGTCCCCTTCTGAGTTTGTCCAGTAACCCAGCCTTTTGCTGCGCCATAGATCAAGCGGTTAGTCGCTGGCTTCCCACCACGGCGGCCTGGGTTCGATCCCGCGTCTGGTCAAGTGGGATTTGTGGTGGACAAAGTGGCGCTGGGGCAGGTTTTCTCCGAGTACTTCGGTTTCCCCTGTTAATCTTCATTCCACCAATTGCTCCACAATCACCCTTACCTATCATCTGGGGCTGGTACAATAGGCCAGAAATGGCCGCAGTACAAGGGACTTAGTCCCACCCCACTAGCAATAAAAAAAGAACCACCCTTTCCATAAAGTAATATCTAGCAGGAAAGAATTGAACATATGTGATAAAGAGTTTTTAAAGTTTAATTCTTTTTTTAATCGAATCTGCGTTTACGTTGATCAGTAGATGTCTGTAAAGATATGTAATTATCGTTTTACTTAATTTCCCTCCATTTCCATAGGCAAGTTTAGGAACTTTAGTGCATGAAATGGGCTTCCAGGAGTGTTACTGCAGCTTACAACATTGCGCTTATGGGAAATACGGGTCAGACTTGTGAAGGCTCTCGGGGAACAAACCAGGTCGCAATGCCGTCTTGCTGGTGTTGTATTGTCTCCTTGATGAGAGTAACTGATTATTAATTGTAAAAAAGTAGAAATAATGAGGCAGAGCGCAGTGGCCACGGGTTCTAAATCATGAACCGTCTTTGCTCGCTCGAACACTGGGATCGTGGTTTCGAATCCCACTCGAGACATGGTTGTCTGTGTGTGTTTCTTCTATGTTTGTGTTGTCCTGTGTTTAGGTAGAGGCCTTTCAACGATCTGATCACCCGTCCAAGGAGTACTACCGTCTCTGTATAAAAAGTAAAGTAAAGCTATCCATGTAACAGGCCGTGAAGGCCCATAGAGTTGAGAGATGTTGAGGGTCCCACATTTTCTCTAGACAGTCGACTCACCATGGGGATAAGATTGTCAGCCTTACGCGCCGGCCGCCCTTTACCCTCAGGAAGGTTCCTCGTACTCAGTTCTGTTAGAGGGTGAGTCGACCCCAGGGTCATAGTGCGGCTGGAACGACTAGGTCCATTGGAAAAATCCACTTCATCGGGACTCGGAACCTCGACCTTCCGGCTTGTAACATAGTGCCTCAACCAACTGCGCTAAGCGGCCTCCGTAGTCTAGGGGTAACGTTCCCACCTCATGACTCAAGGTACGCGGGTTCAAACCCGGCGGAGGTCGTGGAATTTTTAAGGGCGGAAAAATTCAGGGAACAAGTCCTCCGGGAGGGACTTTAAGCCATAGGTCCCGTGTCGTAGCTTTACGGCACGTAAAAGAACCTCATGTCTCAAGGAGACTTCTGAGCCAAATTTAGGACATTTCCCGCCCAACAGTAGTCTCTAACGCCTCTGGTAGATGGGGGAAGCATCGAGATACCGCTGAGCCAGTAGAGGCCGAACTCGCTGGCTGAGTCGGGACTGATGGCACGCACCAGTACCGGTAGGGTATAGAGACTGGTAGAATATCAAAAGGGGGACGCACAATGGACCAATACCTGGTCTAAATGCATGGGGAAACCCACCCCCTCCAATAACAACAACAACAACAACAACAACAACAACAACTACTACTACTACGCTACCGCGTGCCCCGGTGTTGCTCTATGCCTGGGCTCTTCTTTTGATAGAATTGTGCCTCCCATTTTGTGTCAGACTGTACAGCCTTTTCCTTGCTCAGATCTACACATCGCTCCCTAGTGATATTGATAGCATTCGGAAAGCGATACAGGAACCAACCGGACATGAAATCTGTCTCACAAATCCCTATCAGGACGGATCCACTACACAGATTGACCTTTGTCCATCGGCTGACCTTAACATCTGCCATCAGTTATGTCGCCTTAACATGACAAGGCTCTGTGAGCCCCCTCCTGGAGGTTCAGTGGACAATTGCAGAGGGTGCGGCGTTATGGCGCGGAAGTAACACCCTTCTGCAGTAATTCGGCATGACATCGCAATACTGGGCTCATGCATCTTGAGACAGCCCGGCGTCTCTCAGTGCAAACAGTTGCCACTTCTGTTCTTCGCAATTCAGTCTCGAGTGCAAAGAGAATAATGTTCTTCTTATCTCATGAGCTTGTTCTTACCAATTATCTAAAATTACCGGTCGTTTCGGAAAGGAGAACAGGATGCCGGATGCATAGCTTGAGAATGTGTACACTTAACAAATACAGTAAAACGGCAAAGCTATCGCATGGCCACGGAGGCCCGTAGGCTTGTGAGACGTCGAGGTTCCCACAGATTATAGACAATCGGCTCACAGATGGTGGTGAGGTTGTCAGCGTCACGCGCCGGCCTCCTTTATCCCACAGAACGATTCCTGATACTCATTGCTGTTACTGGCTGAGACGCTCGCAAGGACATAGTGCGGCTAGAAGAATTAGGTCCATTGAAAAATCTAGTGATCTCGTCGGGAAACGAACCTGCCTCCTCCCGGCTTGTAACCTAGTGCCTCAATAAACTACGCTATCGCGTGCCTTCGTTGTAACGGACAACTGGCTGAGTACAGATGTCAGAGATGTCGAGGCATTGAGAGAGCTTTGTAATTATAAAACTATTAAAATAAAAGAGAACCCCAATGTAAGAACCTTTATGTAATCACATTGTATATATATATATGTTTATTGCATGTAATGGCTGTGTATTCTATGGTGTACTTCGTGAATATCCCATCACTCAGTTATAGCGTACATCGGCGATGACGTACACACAGTCCATTATAACGATGTGTTACTGTACTATCATACTCTGTTGTAATGCCACCCGAGGGACCGCAGAAATTACGCCGTTATAAACAAGTTCCGTAAAAACAGATGAAGTGACTAGATGAGATTTGAAGAAGAAATATGACATTATGAGGGTCCAGGAAAGCAAGGTGGAAGTGAAATTTAACGGGACACATCAGCTGTTGTCTATGCCGATGATGTGAGTCTACTGGGTGATAATGTAGATACCATAAAGAAAAACACACAAACTTTAATTGATGCAAGTAAAGAGGTTGATCTAGAGGTAAACACAGAGAAAACTGAGTACATGTTGCTGTCTCGTCACCAAAATGCAGGGCAAAATCATGATATAAAGATAGGAAACAGATGTTTTGAAAATGTGGCACAGTTCAGATATTTGGAAACGACGATAACAAATCAAAACCTGATTCAGGAGAAAATTAATAAGAGGAGATTGAATTCGGGTAATGCTTGCTTCCATTCAGTCCAGAACCTTTTGTCTTCTCGTGTGCTGTCTAAAAACATACAAATTATAATATAAAAATGTATAATTTTGCCTGTGGTTCTGTATGGGTGTGAAACTTGGTCTCTGACATTAAGGGAGGAACATAGCTTGAGGGTGTTTGAGAACAGGGTGCTGAGCAGAATATTTGGACCGAGCAGAGATGAAGTGACAGGAGGTTGGAGGAAACTACATAATGTGGAGCTTCATAACTTGTACACTTCGCCAATTATAATCAGAATGATCAAGTGAAGGAGAATGAGATGGGCAGGACATGTAGCACGAATGAAAGAAGTGGAATGCATATAGGATATTGGTGGGAAGGACGAAGGAAAGAGGCCAGTAAGAAAAAGAAAACGTAGATGGGTGAACAATAATGATACGGATCTTAGAGAGATCGGATGGGATGATATGGATTGGATTGATCTGGCTCGGGATAGGGAGCAGTGGAGGGCTCTTGTGAACACGGCAATGAACCTTCGGGTAACAAAGTTTTGTGGATATTCTTGAGTAGCTGAGCAGCTGGCTGCTCCTCAAAGACACAGCTCCATGAGGTTAGTTAGTTACGTAAACTAGATCTTACGATATATATATATACACATAACAAAAACAAACTCCGTTATGCTAGTCCGCAAGCGAACTATACCGACCTAGCGATCGCCGCTTGCCGGCGAAGTTTAGTGTCAACTTTTGCGGATAGAGGGTGTCGCGTGGTCAGCGCAACAAATCCGCACGGCCGCTAATTTCGGTTTTCTAGACCGGAGCCGCTATTTCCTTGAAATAGCTCCTCAATTATCATCATGAGGCTGAGTGGACCCCGTTCCAGATCCACTACTTCTCAGAAAAAATCTGGTAGCGCCGAGAATCGAACCCGGACCTCTGGATCTGTAGCCAGAAACGCTGACCACTAGACCATAGAGGCTATAAAAGTGGTAAATTTAAAGATGCAGACATACTTCTTTGAGCCTGTTTGGTACTGAATGTACTTTTTCCATACATTTTCAGATGGTATACCCATAGGTCACTGGGTATTGTTTAAAAATGGTCGTTGGCACAGAGGGCAGGAGAAAGTCCTGTTAAAATTTTCGCTGTTCATGTGAAGAAGTGTTGTGAGAACATACATATTCTTTCGTAAGAACCGTTGCGTAATCTAGCAACTGATTACAGAGAATCCGGTTCCTATTGTTGCCTAGCTCAGACCATATAGAAAACAGTTCCCCCATAGTGTTACATGTTGGGAAGTGTTTAGTTGGCCGTGCCTGGCAATACTTTGAACAATTCCGTTAACAATATTATCCCCATCTACGTTTAGATCTTCTTACTAATATCATTCCTTCAGATTTTCCTACCAAAAATGTTTATTCACTTTTCTTCGCTCCCGTACGTGCTACATGGCCTGCCAATCTCGAGTTCTAATTCTGTGCGAAATGAATAACTGCAGGTGTTAGAGAAGCTGGATCTGGATACTGGAGTTCAGGTGCCTCTGTAATTGTAATGACGTCAGAGCCGTTACTGCGCAGTGGAAAGTGTGATGAATGCACCGATGTAAGCCTACTACAGAACATGTGGCATGGAGCAGGTTGATATGAAGGTAACGCTGTAGACTTTTATGTGGTAGGTGCTAGATGCTAGGTTCGAATCTTAATCAGGACACCCGCTATTCTCACTGATGATTTTCTTAGGTTTCCTCAGTCCTAGGCAAATGTGGATTCCATTATACACCAGCACAGTTTACATTCAGCGCTCTGTGGAGCCTAAGTTAAAACAAGCCAGCAATGAATGTGGTAGCGTAGTGACATCTGGTTATCGGCTTCGTGAACTATCCTTGTCAGACTTTTCCCTCTCCGAGGATCATGCGCGGAACTGTTCTTGTTAGTTCTTCCCCCCAGTAAACTGTTTGCTGTTTTGATAGTTTCATGTGTAAAAATCCTAATCACAAGTGTCACCAAGATTTCACATCAGATTAACTGCAGGTTCTAGTTCCTACAGCTTAGTTCAGAACCTCTTATTTTTACTTCTTCTGTAAAGGAACGTAAAACTTAAAACAAGGAAATACTAATTTTACTTGTAGCTTGGCTTGCTACCTGCTTCACTTTGGTTTCTTGCCTGGCTTAATTCTTCGATCTTGAAGATGGGGGCAATATGTTGCTCCGAAACGTCGGTTGACTTCCAACGAACTATGAACTCTTCTAATTTTACTTGTTATATATAAATGTCGAAGTTTGGTCTCTCGCTCATGAGGGAAAGGTTGGAGTTCAAGGTGTTGGGAATTGATTCTAAGTGGGAGCAAATAATAGGAGAACGGAGGAATGTACATGCATAGGATCTTCATAATTGTACTTTTTTTGAGGATTATGGAAAGGAAATTACGGATGTTCGGTTGGGCGGGACATGTAACACGCGTAGAGGCGATGGAGAAGTGTATAAACAAATGTAGCTGGAAAACAAGAAGGTCCTGGAGATTCTTAAACATGATCAGGATGTGAGAATTTCGATTGGATTAAGCTTCCCACGGTATGCCGTTATTACGGCCATGTCTGTGAAGATTACGGTTTCCCGTGTTGTAACCCCGTGAAGCTCGAAGAGAGCCCCGCGTGCCGCAGGAACCTTTCTAAGGCAGAATGTTTAAGGAAGCAGGAAACCAGCGCAGTAACTCAGAATAGGTGCACTGCAGAAGGTCATAAACATTCGCTTTCCATAAAAGACGAAGAATCTCTTGGTCAGCAGAGCAAGTATCAGCTTTTCAAGGTGGTCACTATTCAAGTGTTTCAGATAAATTTAACTTGGAACAAATGTAAGGCGTGTGACGTGCATTCGGGAAGTGCTATGTTTGAATTCCGCTCAAGAAATTGTTTTCTTGTTAATGGGTTTCATGGGGTTTTCTATAGAAATTACGGCCCACATTTATGTAGGTACCGCCGCTTCGTCTCATATTCATAATTATTTTAGCCAGTCACCACTTAACATCAGGAGCTGAAAAATGTCGTGAAATAACCCATTAACCGATATAATTTAGCATTAGAGAAATATAATTGGATTGCATGGACTGGATTGATCTGGCTTAGGATAGGAACGAATGACATACACTTGTGAACACGGTAACGAATCATCGGGTTTCATAAAGTGTTGGGAAGTTGTGGAGTTAGTTTCGAAGGCGCACGACATTCTAATGCGGTGCGGATGAAATGACACGTAGGTAGTCTCCACTCTACAGCATTCCCCGAGCTTGTTGCCGTGTGAATGCCAGCTCCCCTTGCTCTAAAGTAATACAGAAACACTTCTTGCACCACTTTTGCCTTGTAGAATTGCTGCAAAGTACGAAGTGTAACCTAAATAGTCTGAAGTCACACACAGGCCATAAGTTAAGTTCTGTGTCACATTTTAACTTGAAGAGAGACGCGGATAAGATCTTTTTTAACCGTTTCACGTGCCTAGTATTATGGAAATTAAGCGAAAGTGTTTTTCTTGCTTTTGTTTCGAGACTCCTTCATCTTCTTCCTTGTGGAGAGGGACTGTGCACATGTAGCGTGTATCACGCCATCTAGTGGCTGAAACTCGGAACTGTAATAAAAATCACGCCAAGCCTTTGTTGTAGCCCTTTTAACCTGAACATCAGGATCATGCCTTACTTGAGTGCTCAGTTATATCATGCAAATTTTCTAGGTTAACAGTTTCACTGCCAATTTAAGTCATTTCTGCTCCTTTACTAATAGACTCTTGTTTCTCTTAGGCAGATTGGAATCTTTGACGGAAAAACGGAAACGGAAGATGCTATAATCACTGCAGAAGATTCCGAATAGAAGCAGAAGATTGTAACTGTTAGAGGGAGTTACTTCTGCTACAAGTTGAACATTGAGAAATATGTTGACGCATTGCCAGTTATCTCTCACTGCAATGCATTCTTTGCGATTTTATTTATTGTCAGTACCTGCATTTAACAAGAACAAGAATCTTTTTACCAGCAAATTGGACTTAAATTTGAGGAAGAAACTAGTGAAATGCTACATTTGGAGCATAGCTCTGTATGGGGCTGAAACATGGACACTTAGGGCAGTAGATCAGAAACATCTGGAAAGTTTCGAAATGTGGTGTTGGAGAAGAATGGAGAAGATNTTTGAAGGAGAAAGCTCTAGATCGCATTAAGTGGAGGAATTCTTTTGGAAGAAACTGCGGACCTGTCGTCTGACAGATTACTGATGATGATGATGAGCGCAGTGAGAATACTATCGTAAGATATTAAAACTATTTAGATTTGACCCTAGAGTTTAGGCCGAAGTCATCAGGTAAACATGTGAGTAGGTAAAAGGTAAAGATAAAGGTGTCCCTGCACTTACCTAATTAAGCACTACGCCATGAAGGCGTATGGGGCAGTGGATGTATAGATCCATATTTCCTTGACCACGATACTAGTTGGAGGTGAATGGTCAGGTTCACGCCCCGGCCGCTTTGCGCCCGGGAAAGAGCATCCGGTATCCATTGAATAAGGTTGGGGGGACACCAGAGACGATCTGGACGACGTGGGAAAAAACTCTTGACTCTACCGGGACTTGAACTACGACCTCTCGGTCGTCCAGTCCGTAGCCGGTCGCTATACCGACTGTGCTATACCGGCTCCTCTTCAAAGTAGGTCATATTTTAATTAACAAAAGAGACACTCGAATGTTGCTGAGGATTTGATTATGATTTTGATCACTATAAAACGATTTGAGGAGACGCGGTAGCGTAGTTGGTTGAGCATAATGTGAGCCTTTGAACTTGTTACGTAAACAAAGAATAAGTGAGCATACGTAGTTCAAATTATCTGCAAGCGTTTAAAACTCACCAAGGCTTTATTGAATTGTTTTAATCCTGGTTCCTATATGCACCACCAAATTTAACGTTCAAAATATTCGCGATCAGCCCGCAGAGAGTTATATTTACGTGTTTCATATTGTGACACATGGACCGTTTCTATAACAATAGAGGTATGTCCGTGAACATTCTCACGGCAACGAATACAGGCAACAATAGAAGAACTACCGTTTCTATGCGACGGCTGGTAAGAACGTCACAACAATATAGGAGAAAGTGTCCAGTGATTGAGGCTAGCTCTTTCTAACGGACCCAACAGAATAGGTGTTCCTCTTTTCCTTCACCTGAGGACGGAAACAGATCCAGTTTCCGAAACGTCGTGTTTTTATTTGTTATCTTAAAAACTAGGACGATGGATAAAGTCCAGAAACCCAATATATCAGTGTGTTATACACCATCGTCAGAATCCTATAGTAACTACTAGGAGAAAGTGTGTTTTCTATGCGGTCTGCTCCAAGCAAACGCACGGAGCAATAGGACTCTATTACTAGGCAAAGAAGCTGTAAGCACACATCCTTAAGAAAAGAAGACCGTGTTTTATGTGAGGCTCGTGTAGAGGAGTTACCTTGAAGACAACCGCCTTGACAAGTTCAGTTGCCGGTAGGACATAGCCACGGCAAGTTCCTAGTTGAAGAAGAATTAGAAGTCGGCCTGTGAGGACTTATCGTGTGATTTGAAGACTTTGTGTATGCTGTAGTGCAGTGACATCTGGAGTGTGACAGTTTAGTTCCTGTGTTAAAATCCATTGTCAAGAAACGGATAGAGGAAACTTTGCAGAGGAATGCTCATTGTGTAGATCTTACCTAACAACGGTTAATGTAAGCAGATATAGAAAACTTTATTTATGTGTTATAATTAATTGTAGGTACGACTTCTAATGTAAAGGTAAAGTTGTCCCTGTGCTCAAAGAAGTAAGCATTACACCATGAAGGCGTATGGAAGAGTGGATGTAAAGACCCACGTTTTCTTGACCTCGGCACTAGTTGGGGGTATGTGATCAGCTTCAGGCCCCGGCCGCTTTGCCTCCAAGGAAAGAGACCCCGGTACCCATTGGATAGGCGGCTGGGTGGGCCCAGAGCCGGTCTGAATAACATGGAAAATTTTAAATTTCTTGCCCCCACCGTGACTCAAACTCCATGTCCTTGTTCGCCCAGCCCGTATCCAGTCGCTATACAGACTGCGCTGTCCCGGCTCCAGTTAGGACCTGTTTCTTTTTTCATTGGCGGTACAGCCCTCGTTTGGGCTCTCCTTTTCACTTCGGTTTAGTAGATCTTAGACATACGGTAGGACTCCTAGAGCGGGTGATCAGCTCGTCGCAAGGCCTCTACCTGTACACAAACACCGAAAAACGCACACAAACATCCATGCCGCGAGTGGGATTCGAACCCACGATCCCGGCTTCCGAGCGAGCGAAGACAGTGCATGCCTTAGACCGCTCGACTACCGTGACCGGCAGTTACGACCTGTTAGTGGTCAGTAAATCCAATTGCGAATTCGAACCCCATTCTTGTCTCTGATGCACAAGGTTGGTATTGAGCGGTTGGTTTTTGTAATGGAGACGCAGTGTTTTTGCTGTGAAGTAGGAACTGAATTTTTAAAAGCTATTCAGACGAACTTGAGTCTTCAAGGTGTTAGTGTGATTTTTATATCGAGGCCTCCAATTCGTATCCAGTAACTAAGGGAAATAAACAGGAGCAGAAGGGCATGACTTTTAGTGATATATTCGTAGTAAATTGTTTCACAGAAGTCGGCCATTTATTGTGTATAATACTGATATTGGAATTGAGTTAAGGAATGGACAGGCCAAAAACACAGCACAAATGTTCACTTTAGCAACCAACTTCCCTTATTTTGAAAAACAAAATGAAAGTAAGCTTATGACATCACCTTGTTTCCCATGTGTCTGTGTGTTTAACGCTTTATTGTTGCTAGGCTACGGTTCGGTAAACAGTTCCCGCGGCAACGAATACATATGAAGCAGGAGAATTGTTGAACGAATTGTTTTCCATGCGGTTCGTGCCGTGTGGAAGTGAAGTAGGCGTTTAGTTCTATGGAGGTCCAGAGAAAAAGAGAAAGTGAATGAGTGACTAAGAGTGAGAGACATCAGAACCACTCCCCAGTAGAATAGGAGTGACCAGCAGTAGTCAGACCCCTCCTCTGATTCAAGAGGAGGCCCCATTTCAGAACATGTAAAAGTTTGGAAAGAACAAAGACATTGCCATTGGTCCTCACGGTGCCCGTTACCAAGAACTACTATACTGGCGAGGGCCAGCAGTAATTTACTAGACTGGACTGAATCAGGTATGCTAATCACACAATTGGTGGTGGTCCCCACATGACCCGATAACAAGATAACCAGAACGACTGTACTGGCGAGGACCATCAGTAATTTACCGGATTGGGCTGGATCACGTATGCTAATCACGAAATTGGCAGTTCACAAGCTGTAAGACTCGCAGTTATTTTGTTACCCTCTAACTTTTGCGTTCAGATGTACCGATGCTCATGCCACCTCATACAGAACTGTAAGTGGGAATTAACTTTTATTCACTAATGAAACATCAGGTTCTCTCGCTACGCTTGGCAAAATATTAGGAACACTGAAATAGAAACACAACAGTGAAGAAAACGATCCGTTTTGGCTCAAAATTCAATAAATATTATTTTCTCAAGATCTGAAATCGGCAAATCAGAATTATTGTAAGCAGAATCCCTCTTGCTTGTTGTCGTGCCCTTGTTAACTCGTGTAACGCGAACATGCCATTTCTCTTCGGAGCTAAATTGTGCACTTGTACTGTGCTTGAGCTTCTTGAGCATTTTGTGTGCTGTCACGTGTATGAGTGACTGTAGACGGATTTAGAATTGATAATCGGATTTGTTGGACTCTTTGCTGGACTGCACTTTACAGTACATCGTTACACACACACACACACTCACACTCACACTCTCTCACTCACTCACTCACTCACTCACTCACACTCACTCACACTCACTCACACTCACTCACTCTCGCTCACTCACTCACACTCACTCACTCACTCACTCACTCACACACACACACACACACACACACTCACACACACACTCACACACACACTGGTGCCCGCAGTCATCCCGTGTGGAGGCGGGGGCGATAACCCCACCGTAGCCCCGCGAGTCGTAGGAGGCGACAAAAAGGGAATCCAGTGCCTGGGGGTACAACTGGGCCACCCTGTTCCTGGGGGATATAAATATGAGGACCTGGCCCTCCAGGTTGTGGGCGTCTCGAACCTGAGACAGTAAAATATGGTCATGAGTATCACAGGCCTCGAACCTGAGAATGACTAGTTTGTCGAGTGCCTGCAACAATTGTAAATTACAGGCCCAACCTCCCTTCAGAGAGGGGCTGATTGGTGTTAAATCACCAGTCGTATAATATTCTGAATTTGACTCTGTCCACAGTCACTTCTTCACTATCCGTTGCTCGGCAGCGGCTTCCAGTGGCGGACGTTCCCGAACTGTCTCCGGCCTGAGCTACCATCTTCTCACAGCAATAGCTCACGTCTGAACCTGAGCAGTTCTCTGACTCAATAACTGACTAACTCAGGCACTCACAAACCAATTCTCAAGTCAAAGTCACATTGCGACTGACTGTCAGTCATTCTGTCTGTCTTGGTGTGGAGCCCCGGCTGGGGCTCATGACCAGATGTTTCTTTTTAGATGAAAGTTACTGTCCTGTCCACGTGGGGCGCCCTCTCTGACGAGAGGTCGGATCTGTCATTTGTCAGTCATAGTCGATAGTATACGTATTAGTCCATTGTCACTATCTACACTTATTTACGATTGAGGCTTAATATGTAGTATATACAATATATACAAGGCCTCTGTCAATCTAGGCTCAGTACAGAAGACTATGCCCTATTTCTAGTAGTATTCGCTACCACGGCAG